TGAGATTTTTACGTGTGTAGTCTGTGGACGACAACTTGCATGCAGCAAGTCTGTTGACAACTTGCAGTAGACTTGATATTATCAAGCTGGAGCAAACGATGCGAACGCATCCTCATATCGGCTTGATGATCGCAAGTTGCAGCAAATCTGCAGCAGACCTGCTGCAACTTGCGCGTTTCTGGCTGTGTACCTTAAAGGTAGCGATTGCTGCCTATTTAGCACAATATCAAGTGTCGAGGTCAAGAAAGATGGAGGCCAGAACACGATCAGCATGCAAAAAATTTTAATATTTTTGTGTGTTTAAAAGTACCTGTAAATGATAATACATAAACTATTTATATTTTGGATGCCACTTACAATGACCATCACCGAATACGAAGCAAAATTTTCAATATGGGAAAAGCGGTTTTTGGTCAGCAATAGGTGGGTTTCACGAAGCCTTGTACATGTTATAGGGAAATGCGTGAACTCTCTGGTTTTTTTGGAGTTGACTACCAAGCGCTAAGCGTTCAACGTGACTGAAATCCAGCTATTGTTGCTATAATATAACGTGGAGCATCTTCGCGCACTTTTTGCAGACATATTTTTGCAGGCAGTACATATAGGGAATAAGGATTAATAAATTTACGTGGTGTTTCCACAAACAAAACTATTATATGTTTTATTTTATTTTTTTATTTGTGTGCAGCTAGTTTTTATTTTCTGATTTCCTGCAATTTGATTGGCTACGCGAGCGGGCAGCTTTTTACGATATTTAGGCCGCGGGCAGGGGAGTTATTTTTTTAGCAACAAACCGAGGAGTGAAGACAATGTTCAAACTCAAAACACTACCCAAAAAGTTGAAAATCTCTGCCATCAATAAAATATAAAACAACGGTATAAACTCCGAAAATAAACATTTTAATCGTTCTAGCTTTCGACTAAGATTCAGTCATCATCAGGATATATAGTGAAGATTAAGTAATTTGATATGTACGGAAACGATTAGTTAAATATTATAAGTTCTTTTGATGCCTTATAGTTCCGTGATTAAGTTCTAAGATTATAGACAGATCTGATCATTGGTCCTTATTGCTATTTAAAGAAGCACTTGCCATTTATAGACGCCTTAAACCTGAACTTAATCACGGAACTAAGGCATCAAAAGAACTTATAATATAACTAATCGTTTCTGTACATATCAAATTACTTAATCTTCACTATATATATTATATATCGATATAATGTAACCTAGCAGTAGCATCATTCCTGATGATGACTGAATCTTAGTCGAAAGCTAGAACGATTAAAATGTTTATTTTCGGAGACTAAAGATCGTCCGTCCGCCGTCCGTGTCCGCGTTTTATCTATGCAAAGGCTACTTCCTTCCGACTTTTATCCAAAGACCGGCGGAAGTGTGTGCATATTTGATCTAGGCGGAGAAATTAATATATTTTATCCTATTTCTTGGACGTTTATAAAATACAGTAAGTAAACCATTTATATTATCGTTCTTTATATCCAAAAGTATTAAAGAATACGCGTAGTTTGCGCGAGTATTTGCAGGCCGAAGTTCGGGAGGTACCTTTGTAAATTGTGTCATATTTAATAATACTGTACCCTTTTATAATAGCAAATTTCCTGTAAATGTTTTATGCGAATGCATTTGGATATTGAGCCTGTGGCCCTGTGTTTATATGATTTTGGTGATATCGACCAGCGATAAATACATTCGTGGGATATTCAAAAAGGGTAAAAGCCTTGATCTCATTTTTTTAGTTTCTACACATAAATATTGTATGCAATGGGGTACCTGCACTTGTATTTAATTAACTAAATATGAAACATTTGTGGAATGCTCACTTATTTTGCACATTGAGTTATAAACTTCATGATAGTGTTAAGAAAACGAAACTCGATCCTTTTGAACTTCCTGCCATCATTTCATAATGCATGTTGCAATTAGCAAATTTTGTTGTTTACTAAAATTGTAGTGTGCATGCATGGAGGATGGCTAAATGGCATGGGGTCGTGGGTCGTGCATCTAGAAATTTTTAACTACACTATTTTAGCTATAGAAGCTCGTTGACAAAAATGACGGAAATAATGAGAGATTCGCTGCAAGTTTCATACAGTCGACCGGTGGTCCTATGGATTGACAGTTCGACGCCCTCCCCCAGTATGTCTTTGTTTCCCGCCACAATATCGTTCTGCTTTCATAATTGATTTAAAAATAATACCGGAAATTGTCGAGATTGTCTATTTGGCGTGGGTGGGTGGGTCGTGCGTTGTGGGTCGTGCGTTAGTAAATCGCAAAAATAATTTAAAACCGAACTATACCATGAACTGCCAAAATTTTGCACGAATCTTTTTAGCTATATGCCACATCTCTATTAACTATGACCACATTGGCAAAAATGCTGGTAGATTCGCTGAACTTGTGGGTGGTTGAATTTAATTACAGGGGCCGGTTGTATAAAAACGTAATTAGCGCTAACTGTAGTTAGCGTTAATCACTGTAGTTAAATCCTTAACTGTAATTAGTTAACTACATGACTTAAAACGTAGTTAGTCGGATAGTTAACTAATCACGTAGTTAACTGTGCGTGGGGCGTTTAAACACAAGATTACATAAAGTAAGCAGGGAGTAACGACTGCTGACACGCATTTTCAACATGATTGTGGACTCGTATTTTGCAAATAGGCGGGAATTTTATTCAAAACACTAGAAAACAGTAGTGATGGGCGATACCAGGATTTTTAATTCGATACCGATACTTTTAGGATCGGTATCGGTCGATACCGATACTTATTTCGATACCAAAATAAACACAAAATTTCAATTTTCGATACCGGAAGTGAGTACTTAAGGTGGCTCCCTAGGGTTTTATTTCCGGGGGTTACGTTCTTCGTATATATGTAAACTAAAACTCGTGTGACTTCAAAATACGAACGAACGTTGTGTTTTATATGGAACTCTTTTTTGAAACAAAAGTGTGAACTTTGCTTCAGTTGAAAGCATAAAAGAGTTCTAAAAGCCAAACGATACTTGGATGTGATGTTCAAAAGAAAATAATGTAAACTTGTTTTTTTTCAAGCGGTATTCGGGATGTTTTTTGAACCGCCGTACGCGAGGTTCAATCGTGAACATTGGGATATAGAGTTTCCTCAAGAATTTTCAGTGTTTTCTCCACAATCTAGCAGCACTTATGACAATAAAGATGACTTAAATAATGAGCCCTCTACGGGTGAAATGAGCAGGGCCGAAACTCCAAACATATCGCTATAAAAAGTGAAATTTGAACGGTCATTTTGCGAAAACATCCGACGATAGTATACTCGCACGGGACGAATTTTGACAAACATTTTTCAAATTAATACCAAGAAGTCATAACCAGTAATTACCTAAATATCTTTGCCATTTTTACATGTATAATCCACGCTTAGTTGACCATTAACCGACACAGTTATAAACAGTATATCGAACATAATTTATATTTTGTGATTTCGAAAAAGTCATGCCTTGTTGTTTTATGCAGAATGCATGTACACGTCAGTGGGGTATTAAATTGTTCGCGTAAAAATCTAGTAAAAATTGCCAAAATTGAACCCAAATTTCTCCGTTTTCCTTCGGTAAATTTTTTTTAAATTTTGCACATTTTTTAATATCGGTACAACAAGTACAATATCCTTTTTTCTTAAAATTAAATCGAAGGGAAAATTTTTAACATTCATTTTTGACGTTTTTTAAATTTTCTAAGAAACGTATCGATTTAATTTTTTTAAATTGAGGGGGGAAAATCATTATACAAGTATTATCTTTTATACAAAGTTTTAAAAAATTTCACCGAAGGAACTTTTTAAAATGACCTGAAAAAGACAAATTATGAGCTTTATTCTAAGCATGCTGTTGCCATGACAACATATTTTTAACACAAAAGTAGCAATTTGTAATGTTCAGGAGAACATTGTCAATGTGTCCAATAAATTTCGTCTTCATATCATGTAAAGTAAAGAAACAGGAGTCTCCTGAATACTATAGTGTAGTAAATTAAAAAACCCTAGGGAGCCACCTTAAATTGCTAGTATCGGCTACTTTCGATACCTGCCGGTCAGCGGAAAAACATTTTACATTACTGTATGTAAAATAAATAAAGCTATAAGTAACCAAAAGCCCGAAACGTAATAAATATTCTCTATACATGACTTGGCGCACCACATTTGAAATATTAACAGTTATTTTAGTGTTAGTATTTTTTATTCAACCAAGAAGTGAAATTAAACAAGTTGTTTAAAAAAGGGTGCAAGTATCGAACGATACCACGTCAGTAATCGATACCGATACCGCTGTTTGTGGTATCGCTGGTATCGAATACCGAGTACTCGGTATCGCCCACCACTAGAAAACAGTGAAAAATAAACAAGATAACAAGGAAAAACCGCTGTCACAGTGATATGAGTATCCCCGTGTTTTGTGTATCCCCTACTAATATCACTTGGGATATGTGTATCCCCGGCAATACGGCAGTCGTGTTCTGCGTATCCCTAAAGAACCACCCTACATTCCCACATCACTACAGACACTAGGGTACAAGTATCCCTAACATTTCGCGGGAAATAAAACATGCAGAACTGCACATGCAAGCTTGAAAATAACACTCTAAATAGTGTGTTGGATTGTGTTTCGAACAAGACTAATACCAAAAAGATATGTTGAAAGGGACCGAAGTTATATTCGGCGAAAGGTATGGCTTAGTGATGCATTGTTTACATTCTTCGAGTTTATTTTATATAGTATGGTATGGTTAATTTACATTGTTCAAGTATGCCTAGTTTATAATTTATGGCTATTTTACATTATTATACATTTAATATGTATTCTCGTTTCTAATTGGTCAGAAAGCACCGGCTAATTTTCAGTATTCGGCATTTATTACGTATTTTCCGCCGATGACGTCATGAGCGTCCAATAATTGTTTTTTTGGATCGAACTTGCATCCAAAAAAAAAATTATTGGACTCTCTCGTGCCCAAGCCCTTGCGCGGCCAAAAGCTTGAACCTACAAGCGCGCGAAAAAAACAAACAAACAATGGCCTACAGCAGATGTGCTTCGCTGAATGAAAGTGAACTCTCCAAATTATTGGCAGATAAGGATAGTGAAAGCACGAAAAAAGCCACAAAGGGGTAAATAGAAGTATAGAAATAGAATATTTAGCTGACCTTTGACTTCGTGCAAGGTGTTTCATATTCAAATTGTACTTTTCCTACAGTACCTCATGAACAGGAATTTAAACGTTTCTCATGTCTTTAAATGTATAATAAAACAATTATTGGATTCGGCTTTCGCATGATATCAAGAATTATTCAGACCTCGGTACCGAGGTCTGGATAATTCTTGATATCATGCTCAGCCTCATCCAATAATTGCTTATTGTTCGACCGGATTTTATATAACTTTTCAAGCGGATTTTTTTTGTGGTACTTTCGTATTTCCACTGCAAATACTCGTGGAGTTCTGTAATATTTAAACTTCCTGTATGTTCTACACCAATTTATGCGACGCGAACATGCTATCTTACAACATAAGCACAATCACATACACATTTACTGCAGCATTTAATAACTGTAAAAACGTAAATACTTAATACCGGAAAATAAAGGCACAGATAAATGACTTTCCTCCTGCTCATATTTTCAATATTGCATCCTTTCGCTCCTAGTCACAGAATACATACCGGACCAGAAGTGACACTCCTATGTGTTTTGGCTGAAGGAAAACGTCCGAAATTTTTTTACGTGCTATGACGCCATCCTGGAGTGCACACGGCACTTTGTACCTATGCTTGGCCTATGAAAAACTTCCGTGTGCACTCCAGGATGGCGTGATATAATGGCGTATTTTCACGTCAGCACTCGTAAAATTTCGGACAAAATATCGTCTGAGTGACACTTGTGGTCCAGTATCTATTCTGTGTCCTAGTGTTGTGGGTATCCCCACCGGGGGTACTTTTATCCCTAGTGATATTAGTGTGGGGATACACAAAACACGGGGACACTCGTATCACTGTGACACCGCCACAAAAATCATAAAAGAAGGCAGTTTTTCCTTGAGATGTCTACGTTAAACTAAGGTATAGCTGTTTGGCAATTATATATCAGTGTTTCTTGGTGTAATGGACCATACTTCGTCTTCGAGGAATCGTCCTGTGCAAAAATATGTTCTGTTATCGTAAAAACACCAAAGCGATAGCGTTTGAAGAGTTTATATTGTCAGGAAACATTCACAGGGAAGATAGCGATTGAAAATCTCAGGTACGCGTTGCTTTTTGTTTGACTGAAAAATGTTGTTCACTCCTATACAAACGCCATTTTTAACTACGCTTTGGACAGTTAACTAACCGGCTTAACTACGTGATTAAAGTTAGATTTAAGGCTTTTTAACTACTTTTTAACTGCAGTTAGCGCTAACTACGTTTTTATACAACCGGCCCCAGTAATTTAACTTGTAAAAGACATCGGTGACCTCCAAATTTAGGCTGTTGCGGTATATCGATATACCGATAATTATGTTTTTTTTATCAAAATACCGATTACTCGATATTGGAATTTTCAATAGATCGGAATATCGATATTTTTCGGTATTATCGATATCACGTTTACGTTTGTATATTTAAACGTCATATCAAGCTTTTTCAAGCGCTGATTGAAATTATTTCAGAAGGACAAAGACGATCAATGTGCTAACTCCGCGGGAAAATCCGTCAATTAAGGTTAGAGCGCGATCTAAAACGTGTTTGTTTATACGTTACGTTGGCGTACGTTGCAAGGTACGGTAATATGTCATTTCGCTTAGTTATAGGTAATATGTCATTTCGCTCGTGAACTTTTAGAACGTAAACAACGGTGGATTACAAATGTTTTAGAAAAACAAGAACTAACCTCATTGGACATTGTTAGTTTTCTGGTGATATAGGACGATCTTTGTTTCGAACTCGCAGTTGAATAAAATGTTTTGAAACAATTTCCCGGACAAAAATATCACACATGTTTCATCCGGTGCGGTAATCAATGCTAATATTAAGTAATACGCATTTTCAATTCGTAAAGCGGACACATCACAGGCTACTGATCATTGGCCTCACACTTTATTGAAAATATCACGCACCCGATGAGTCAAAGCTGTTATATCGTGGCTGTTTGGCAGCATTTGAAAACAGAAAATTTTGCATAAAATTAAGCAAATTTTGCATAAAATTAAGCAAAATACAATCGCGAAAAAATATCGATATATCGGTATTATCGGTATTTTTTTTCCGGTATCGGTTTTCGTTTTTTTTTTCAAATACCGCAACAGCCTACCCCCAATTTTTATTTCATAAAATGATTTCTTTTAGTATACTCAATTATTTTGACAATTTATTAAAATACCGATCTAAATGGTGAATTTTCCATTTTTTTGAAAACTGTGTCGCTCCATTTTTTTGAAAACCGTACGGCCTACTTTTACGCAAACGTGAATTACAATTGCAACTTTCATGCTTACTTTTGTCTGTTATCTGGGCGGTATACTAGCTCGTCAAAACTTTAGGTATTTAAACGGATAATCGCATTGAAAACTCCTTCAAAACAGTACATTTTTTAAGGATTCTTCAGTCAGGGTGGAGCAAAATTGCTAAAGGGCCCATCCTCTCCTTGTCCTCCTCCATGCAGGATAGTATACGATCGTCGAAGGTGTGAGCCCGCCCGCCACTGCAGGGGCGGATTCAGCGTCTCAATCTGACCGTAGCATTTTGGATGAAATCAACATGCGGGGCCGAAGGCCACGCCCTACCTAGGGGGGTTTGGGGGCATGCCCCCCAGAAAATTTTTGAAATTTGAAGCCCGCAAGTACCATTTCCTGCATTCTGAGCATGGAAATTAGATTTAAAATTTGTAGAAAAGTGCCTGTTTTTCACACCAAAATAAGAAAAAAACGCACAAAAGTTACAAAATTTATTCATCAACATACCACTTCGAACAACAGATTATCTTGAAAAAGTAAGATAACAGTAGTTCGAAAGTTTTCAAATGTACATCATCTTGAAACAGCGGCCCAACGACAGTTAGGGAAAATGTTTATCTGGCTAAGCAGCAGCATATATAGATCATCCTGAAACAGCAGGACAACTTATGGCAGTCAGGAAAAATATTTTCTGTACTGTATATAGATTATCTCCAAGTTATAGGAAAAATGTTTATTTGTAGATCTTCTTGAAACAGCAGCACAACAGCTATTAGGAAAAATGTTTATTTGTATATGTTTTTTGTACTAAAATTCGAGCAGTTCTGCAGGAATTCGCGCGGAGCTGGGTGCGCAAATTTTAGTACTGCGGGAAATATATCCATGATTATGAAATCCATGATTACAACACCAGAAATGCGAGTTCATACCGAGCTCATGCATGTAGAACAAATGTAATGCAGTTTACCATCCTATTTCAAGGACCCAAATTGTGGAATTCTCTCCCAGAGTCCGTCAAAAGTGCACAGACTATCAATTGCTTCAGGAATAGAATTTTGAAATACTTGCTAGATGCCTAATTACGTTTTTTCTTGACCTCTCCTAACTAATCATTTCTCTGATCTATATTTTCTGTTACTACTGCTCCAAGGAGACATCCTATTTACAAGCCCTATGGTTTCCGGATGCCTCCTTGCCACCGATATCTATTTTATGGTGTATACATATTGACTATTTAAAATTAACTATATTATTAACATAAATAACTTGTAAATAACTGATATCTGTGGCAAATTAAATTATCTCTATCTCTAATATAATCCGCGCGAATAGCTTTGCTAATAATATTCACTCGTTGTTAGTAAATATTATAATGTAAGGCAATACCATATACGAACCTATAATATATGGGATGCTAATAAAAATTAGTTATTGTTATTATTATTATTATTATTATTATTGATCTTTAAACACGGTAACCTTTCACATAGGTGATTTTCAAAGGGCCGTGCGGAAAATAAATGCATTATAAAAGAAGGAACTAATAAACTAAATTATACTTATTTACAAAATATACTTATTTACTTATTTACTTATTTACAAGATGTAATTATTTAATAGGTGATGGACAGATTTTAAACTTGTTGACTCTCTTAGGGTTTTCAACAAGTTTACTGGGATGTTGTTCCAACCCAGCCAGCACAAGAACGTCCTATCAACGTTGTCATAATGTTCGGTTTACGTTGCGATAACGTTGTCACTTTACGTGCGTCCGACGTGATTTTGTCGACTCCAGGGGACGTTGTCACAACGTTTTGAAAAACGTAAGAAAAAGCGTTCCCACAACGTTTATGAAACGTAAATATATTGAAGCGAAACGTTCACACAACGTTTATGAAACGTAAATATATTGAAGCGAAACGTTCACACAACGTTTATAGAACGAAATATTTATTTCAAAATCTTTTATGTTTACTGTAGGCTAAAATTACAATCCAGGAATAAAAAAATACTTAAATATATCTTTATTGTTCATAAATGTTTCTTGCTAATGTTGTCAATCTCGTGAATGTTTCACAGTTCCAGCTTTTCGATGAAAGCGTTATATAGCCATCGTTGTATTAATAAGTAAATTATCCCGGTTTGTTAAGCCACATAGTTTACCATTAGCTATATTGTACGTATAGTATTTGATGATCTCCATATTCTTGCCTTCGCATTCTAAAGATGAAAGCGTTAGCCATCGCTGTAATAAATAAATTATCCCGGTTTGTTCAGCCACATAGTTTACCATTAGGCCATATTGTACGTCGTATAGTATTTGATGATCATCCATATTCTTGCCTTCGCATTCTAAAGTTGTATATCTTGAACAAGAGAAAATATATATCACATTCGCCAGAAAGTATTCTCACTTTATTAATAGACGATGGAGTGACATATCCATGATCCACACATATAGCTTTAATCTTTATCATATAAATTTCAGATGACAACTATGAGTATGGAGTATGGTATAATAACTAAACTATAATATTCTACTCACGTTCAAATGATTACAAGATCGATGAAATTAGACAACGCTCGCCGCTCGTAAAGAGTATGATAATATATATATATATATAAGTTCCTCACATCTGCCAAAGATTAAGTTTGAATTCTGCGGCCAACGGCAAAATGTGATATTCGATACTGATGACGCACATTTTAATTAATAACCTATTTTGGCCAAAACAATGTACCATGGACGTTGTCAGAAGGTGTTAAAGTGACATCCAATGAAACGTCCCTACAACGTTCTGCACACATGAATTTTTTACAAATCAAATGTAGCATTTAGGAAAACGTGTTGTTAAGGTTGTAGGGAGGTTAGGTCGGACCAACCCAAATTACAACCTTCTCGCAACGTTGCGATTACGTACTGTGCTAGCTGGGAATACGCTGCTCCTCTGTACGAAAAGCTATTTTTCAAGAAATTCGTTTTTGGTTTAGGTTGAGACAGCTTTAAATTACTACTGCGCAGTACGTAACCATTGTTTTCGCAAGTGTGAAATAGTTGTGTTACGTATTCTGGAAGCATGCCATTAATCGCTTTAAATGTCATGAGGAGATCTCGCTTTTTCAAAAGTAAGTCAAGAGGTTTCCAGCTAAGTTTTTGAAAAATGTCCGAAGATCTTATAGTATAGTCCGAATTTGTTATTATTCTTGCTGCTCGTTTCTGAAGCTTATATAATTTGTCTAAGTGTGTTTGGTTGTTATTTTGCCAAACAGTTGAACAGTAGTTAAAATGAGGCGCGACTAATGCGTTATACATAATTTTGAGCGTATCTAGGCCAACAAAATCTTTGGCTTTTCTTAAAAGATTAATATTTTTTGATATCTTGTTGCATTGTTCTTCATTTTGCCTATTCCAGCTAAGTCTATCGTCTATAACTATACCCAAAGCTTCCTTTTTATAAACTCGTTCAATTTGATGTCCGTTTATACTGATTTTTGGCACGTGATCTAAGTTTTTCAATCGTTGCCGATATCCAATAATCATATATTTGGTTTTTTCGTTGTTTAATGTTAGTTTATTCGCTGATAACCATTTTTGAGCATTTACTAGGTCTTTGTTAAGTTTGTATTCAATATCTATGGATAAATGCCCTTGACATGATAAAATTGTGTCATCAGCAAATAAATTAGAATGTGTTGTTTCTAGGCAGTTTGGGAGGTCGTTTATGTAAATGAGAAATAATAGAGGTCCAAGATTTGAACCTGAGGTACTCCACAACGAATTGTTTCAATATCAGATTTACAGTTATTTAGCATGCAAATTTGCTTTCTTTGATCTAAATACGATTGGAACCATTTGAGCGTGTGCATGGTCGCGTATCCCATAAGCTTGTGGTTTTGACAATAGAATCTGGTGATCAATCGTATCAAATGCTTTTTTCAGGTCTAATTGTTATTGCATTAGGCAAATGAAAACCATACATTTTGAAGTTTGAACTTGATACGCTTTACTGTTATCATGAGTTTTGTTTAGACAAATATTGAAGTATTTGTTGTTATAGTTCTATTAAACAAACCAAAAGGAACCAACACGGAATATTACTTGCGCGAATTTAAAGCTGCGCGAACAAATTTCGCGAAATTGGAATGCGCGAATTTAAAGCTGAACGAAAATGAGTATACGACGCGAATTTTTTAATACAAGTAAGGTATACAATACATGGATTTGAAACATCTAACCATATATTTATGATACGTTATTCCAGGAAGCAGGCTCAGCTGTTGTAATTCTAAACTCTGTTAGTATACATGTAAACTACAATATAATATATCGGAGTGTAACTATTTCTATAAATTTCACTTACACTACTCACTAGTCTTTATAGACTACAACAGGTCTACAACTATAAATAATTACATGAACAAAGTCTAAGATATAAACCTACAGTACATGAAACAGTTTCACACCAGAGAACACATGGCATGCCAATGGCTATCGAATAGTGTGAGTGGCCATTAATATTGTTTTGCATTTTTATAATAATACGTTTCATCAGCAAATATATGGTAATATATTCGAGACGCATGAACTGTGTAAAATTCGATATGTTATTTACATATTTAATATACTATTCATGAGACTGACCTGACACGGAGGTGATTCAAACAGCGCTGTCTTCACAGTTCACATCGCGAGAAATGCAAATTATGCCCGAATAATCGCACACCAAAAGCTTTCGATCAGAATTCTTTCGCGCACCTTTTCGTTAAATGAAACACGTTTATATTCGTACTTCATTATACACAGAAGATCGTGGAGCCCTGTAGAAGCCATGTCTTTCTCCTTGGAACGAGCGGCGATTAAAATTTACCGACTGTTCGATTACAACGAGGAGCCGACACGACAATAACAAGCCAGCATCGCTCTGAAGTCGATGCGACTATTGCAAACAGTAGCATTTTGCCTCATCCTGATTGGCTTGCTTCGTCTGACCGTAGCAAACCAATCAGCACGCCGTATTTGCGAATTTTTGCAACGGTCAGTTTCAATCTGACCACTGCAAAAATTTCCAAATACAGTGCTATGATTGGTTTTGCTACGGTTAGACGAAGCAAGCCAATCACAATGAAGCAAATGCTACGACTTCAGAACGATGTGATATAGTACTAGTGCAAAACCCGCAAATACAGGCTGTATTTCGGGCGGAAATTTGAGAAAAACCCGAATTTATCCAAAATGAAATAAAAACTCGATAAAATTGTATCAATATGATTTAGTAAATTTTAAAAAAAATGCACCAAGTTTCAATGAAAAATTGAAAATAACGGCAATTAAAAATAGTATGACGTTTTAGTTTTTAATAACTTTAAAAAAGGTTCAACCTGGAAAAACATATCTCAGGGAAAATCTGACCGTAGCATATGCTACGGTTGCAACGGTCTGAATCCGCCCCTGAGCCGAGTACCGTAGGCTCGAGTTAGCTAGGGATGGTTTTAAAATTTGGGTCTCTGAAATAGCATTTCGTGCATTCTAATAAAGGACACATTTTTTAAAAATGTTTTAATCAGGTGAAATTTGTAATAAAATGCATGCTAAACATTCAAACACAACATAAGTTCAGTTCAAACACAACATAAGTTCAGTTCAAACACAACATAAGTTCAGCGAGTTACTAGTATGCTGCATCAACAAATTTAGTTTTTTCAATGTTAAACTGATTTACTCATACAAGTCCTAGGGACCTGGCTTTGGGGGCAATAGGCCATTTTTTTCAGTTGTGGGGCAGAGGAAGGGGCCCAGTGGGGCAAATGCCCCACCAGTCCACAGTATTAAAAAATGCCTTGCTTCAAAAATAGCACATTACACTCATGGCATAAAATTAGATTACAACACGACTGGATAACAGTCTTAACAGAGGAAGTCATGAAAGTGGCAATTGCAGTCGCGTTTGCGTAAAAGTAGGCCGTATATATATACGGAAATTGTCACATATCTCAACGGGAATTTTAGGTAAATTTAAACCAATAACTACATTGAAAAGCGCTTGAAAAACAGCACATTATAATAGCATAAAATTGGATTATTACATGCACAGATAACAGAGAAAATTAAGCATGAATGTTGCCATTGTAATTCGCGTTTGCGTAAAAGTAGGCCGTACTGAAATTGTTATATCTCAACGGACATTTTAGGTATATTTAAACCGATAACTGCATTGAAAAGCCCTGGAAAAACAGCACATTATAGTAGCATAAAATTTGATTACTATACCGATGCACAGATAACAGAGAAAATTAAGCATGAATGTTGCCATTGTAATTCGCGTTTGCGTAAAAGTAGGCCGTACTGAAATTGTCACATCTCAACGGGAATTTTAGGTATATTTAAACCGATAACTGCATTGAAAAGCCCTGGAAAAACAGCACATTATAGTAGCATAAAATTGGATTACTACACACATAACAGAGAAAATTAAGCATGAATGTTGCCACGGTAATTCGCGTTTGCGTAAAAGTAGGCAGTACTGAAATTGTCATATCTCAACGGGAATGTTACTTTTAGGATGATAACTGCATTAAAAAGCCCTTGAAAAACAGCACATTATAGTGGCATAAAATTAAATTACTACATACCCATGCAGATAACAAAGAAAAATAAGCATGAAAGTTGCAAAGGTTGGGATTTTAATTCTGCATGAAAAATACAAATACCACTCTA